GCATCTCACCAGTGGCATGCACTCTTCACTCTTCCTGGGTGTCCACACTTAAACCAAAGTCCAGGGCATAGCTGTCGACTTACAGATTTGAAAATAAGGGACCAGCAGCCTTGAAAATAAGGGACCAGCAGCCAAAATAAGGGACCTGCAGCCTCACCTGTTCCAGGCACTCCAGTCTTCCTGTCCTCCTGCAATCTGGTCAAACTCATGCTGGTAGCTTCGAGAGCACTGTCCAACCAACTTTGCAACCAGAGGTTCAACTGAATAGAATCTGAATCACATGCACCACAAGGCCTATGCAGCCTCAGCTTAAGATGGCTCCCTGGCCTGGCTTTGCACTGCAAAGTTTGCAGCAGCACGTGCAAAAAAATGGCGTCCAGCATTCAAAAACCTCCTCAGCTTGCATTAACTAGCCACACACAAGGCATGCAAGCTCCACCCCCCAGTTGTTCTTAGACTTCTTATTGGGTGAGCAACACAGCCAAGCAACACAGTTGGAGCCTCCCTCCTCCCTGGCCGGCAGGGAGGGAGGGAGAGGAGCTGCTTCCTTTGAAATTTAAGGGACATCATTTAAGGGACATTTAAGGGACATCCATCAATAAGGGACAGCAGCGGGACATGGCGCTGGAATAAGGGACCATAAGTTAGGTCCATAAGGCTTAGATGGATGCCACCCCTGTTTTTTGCTACTGTAGCAGAGGAAAGAATCCAAACAGGAAACTTGTTCAAAAGTTAGATTCTTACAATGAGTTGACACCTGTATCTCAGGAACTGTGCAGTCTTTTATCTGGCCTCCAGATGTCAGTGTTTGTCCATTTTATTGAGCTGTATCAGCTAGCTTGTTCCTAACTGTAAACTCTAAAAAGATCCATTTGTAACAGTTTCAGGATATATTTATAAGACAGTGTAACTGAAATGAAAGCACAGGAGAAACAATATATTTAATTTCTGAACTGTAATAGTGCCCTTTTAATTTAGATATATAATTTGTTCTATAAAGAAGGCTCAGGGTAGCATTAGTAGTAGTAGTAGTACTGCGCCTTTTTCCCTAGTGGGACTCAAGGTGGCTTACAAATAAAAACAAGAATTGCTAGAAACATAGAAAAAACAATTATTAAAAAACAATTAAAATCCATCTAATTAATACTATATGTGTGTGTGTGTGTGTGTGTGTGTATTATATACATATATATACAGTATATATCTCACATGTTTAAAATATACAAATAGTTACAATAAGACAAGCACAGCACCAGCCCTTTCATTAAAAACAGTCAGTTCCCAAAAGCCTGCTGGAAAAGAATGTCTTCACCTGGTTGTGGAAGGACAACAAGGAGGGAGCCTGACAAGCATCTCCAGGGAGGGAGTTCCAGAGTCTGGGAGCAGCCACCGAGAAGGACCTTCTCCATGTCCCCACCAAGTGTTCCTGTGAGACGGGTGGGACTGAGAGAAGAGTCTCCTTTGAACACCTGAAAATCCAGGCAGGTTCATGTGAGGGAATATGATCTTTCAGTTAGCTTGGACCTAAGCTGTGTATCCATAATTTATTAGGGTTCTGGTTCATCCTATTTTACAGATGTTTAGGCTGAGGCTCAAGAGGAAGAGGAAGTCAGTCCAATGAGATCACAACAGAGTTGGGGTTGAAAACTCAAGCCTAACTCTATAATCAGAGCTTTCCAAACTTTTATGTTGGGGACAACCCCTTTCCAGTCCTAGGAGAAGCACGGAGAGCATTCATGTGACACACCTACACACTGCAGCCAACACACTAACATGTTGCAATACACAGTTTGGAAAGCTCTGCTATAAATGTTAAGAAGAATGCAGTAGCCTCCGCAGGAGATGGCTAGTATGTTGACTAGAATTTCTGTTCCAGAAGCAATCAGGTTTATTTTTGCCCCAAATCATTCAGTACCAGAGTAGTCAGTGAATACCTGGGAAATAATCAGCATCAACATTCTGGGAGGAGAAATGGTTTTGGAGAAGGTCTGTTCCAGCTCCATCCTTCAGAGAGCCAGACTTGCTTGATTTCTCTTCTTAGGTGAATATGGTCTGAAATGCACACACAACATAGCAAATCTGCTGTGGGCTCATCCAGTTGATGGATTCATGCCTCTTTCAGTGGCTCTCAGGGCTGGCCACCTCCACTTCCCTTGCCTTTTGCTCACGGGTGAAGCTGTCTCTCAGCTCTCAGCTCTAGAATGTGCAAAACTAAAGCCCTGGCCCACAAAGCTGATCCCAGGGGTTTAAAATGCTTGCTTTGTAAAAGAAGCAGACCTCCTGCATTAGAACAACTGCTTTGTCACATTACCAAATGCTGGGCCAATGTATGCTCAGATTAATTATTCTTTTAAAGTTGGGGTTTGTTTTGGCTCCACTGACAGAGCCCTCATGGCCAAACAAGTTAGTCACTGTCTGGAACAAGTCTGTTTCCTCCCTTCAGAGATGTCCCTGAGGCATTTGCATGGGACAACTATGAGCTGTTAAGAGATTTCCTGAAAGTTCGGTTGTGTTTTATGGGATTGCTGCTCTTTGTAAATTGGGTTTTAGGAAGGTGATGCCATTGTTCTTCTCTGTACTACTATCTTTGCATCCTTCAAGGTGGCTGGCATTGAGAGAAAACAAGGAATGATCTGGTCGGCAGAGGGTTGTTTGTTTGTTTTTTGTTTTTACCAAGGACTGGCGCTGCGTGCACATTACCAGTTTTAGATGCAGCTGTGCCATTCTTTTTTCTCTGTTCGGAGCTGGTTTGTGGGAACACACATCTAAATGCAGTATTCCATAAGAAACAACAAGGCTAGATACAGATTGTGGCTATTGGTTTGTTGTATATGGCTCTCCAAACCAGTAGTGGGAGCATGCTAGTTGCAGAGTAAATGAGAGTGTGTACATAGCCTGGAAAAGCTATGCTACATACAATTTTTTCCACAACATTGTGTAAAATGTAAAGGTAAAGGGACCCCTGACCATTAGGTCCAGTCATGACCGACTCTGGGGTTGCAGCGCTCATCTCGCTTTATTGGCCAAGGGAGCCGGCGTACAGCTTCCGGGTCATGTGGCCAGCATGACTAAGCCGCTTCCGGCAAACCAGAGCAGCGCACGGAAATGCCGTTTTCTGGGTGCGGGTGTGCAAAAATCATCGCAGAAATCTCTCTCCAGTTATCTACGTAAAGGCCATGAGTTTAAACAAGAAATGGCAGCTAAGCGGGAGGAGAAATGGCAAGGCAGTATGAAGACTACAGTGTGTGTTTGTGTAGCGATGCACACCTGCTGTCATGGTGGGATCATGCACAAGAGAAAGGCTTGTGATTTTTTATCACCTTTCCTCCTTGCCTCACCCTCGCTCCAGACACTTTGTGAGTACTTGAGTCGGGTAAAATGCAGTAATTTCTAATGTTGCTTTTGCAGTAAAGTGACTTTTTCAGGGTGTGTGTGTGTGTGTGTGTGTGTGTGTGTTACAGCTCCTTGCCAAGGGTGTAAGAGATGGCTCTGCATAGGGTACATGCTTGGAATGTTCCCTGGGTCTCCAGCTCTGTATTACGAAGTGATGCTGGAAACAGCTGTATGCTCACAACCAACATTTCACAGTGATTTAGCACCAGAGACCTCCCCCTTAATTAACTTTCCAATTTGTTCTCTGCCCCCCACTCACACTCTCCCTCCTGTTGACTACACTCCTCATTTCTAATATCCTTTTGGCTGTGTCTTCCATCCCATCTCTTAAAGGAGCCTTACCCTCACACAGGGTTCGATTCCTGGCGCCTCTCCAGTTAAAAGACTTAGTGATGCAAGAGACCTCCGCCTGAGATTCTGGAGGGCTGCCGCCAGCCTATGTAGACACTTTTGAGGCTTAAAGGGTGACTATAGTACAGTGCTACCTTGGGTTACAGACACTTCAGATTACAGACGCTTCAGGTTACAGACTCCGCTAAACCAGAAATAGTACCTCAGGTTAAGAACTTTGCTTCAGGATGAGAACAGAAATTGTGCAGTGGCAGCACGGCAGGCCCCATTAGCTAAAGTGGTACCTCAGGTTAAGAACAGTTTCAGGTTAAGAATGGACCTCCGGAACGAATTAAGTTCTTAACTCGAGGTACCACTGTATAACCTGATGCAGTTAGTCACAGTTTCAGTGTCTGACATGGCACAGCCCAGGTGTGATGGCCTGGGATTCGGACTCAGAGGCTGAACCTGAGGAATCCCAGCCTGCACAGGAGTCCCCGCCTCCAGAACCAGCTGAGCCGGGGCTGGGGCCTGAGCTTGAAGCGTCCTCACCTGTGCTGGATCCTCAGGTGCAGGCACCAGCTGAGTCTGCTCTGGCCCCCGAGGTGATGGAGGGCCCATTGCCTGCAGATGCTCCATTCTCAGCCCCATCAGGGGAAGAGGAGCTTGCCTCTGGGTCCAGTAACCCTCCAGCCTCTCCTGAGCTGCAGAGGCTCAGGGCAGAGAGGCGGAGGGAACTAAGTTCCTGCAGGAGGAGTGCTCGCCTCCAGGCCAGGAGAGGGGAGTCACCTGTGGACTGAGGCCGCTCTATGCCTCAGGGCAGATAAAAGCCAGTCAGCCCCAGTCCCAGGTTGCAGGAGCAACGTTGTTGCTAGCCTGTTCCTGCCTGCACCCTGTCCTGCTCTTCTGCCAGAGTTCCTGACCCCACCTGACTCCCTGCCTTGGACCCAGCTACAGCCTGGACAGACAGCCTCCATACCACACCATCGACCTCAGACTGGACTCGGACCTCACCTCTCGGTAGCCCCCAGGACCAGCGCACCAGGCAGAGGCAGAGCTAGCTGCTCCGGTGAGCGGTGAGCATCCCAGTGGGGCAGGGCAGTGATGTCACACACCCTCAGGGATGACCCATGGGGCGGGGTGCACCCACCGCACCCCCTTCCTCCGCCAGTGAGCCCAGGCACAGTTTTACCACCTTCCTGAGAATTGGGCAAGTTAATGAGCTATCCAGATTCCCCCAAAATACAAATCAGTTCAGAAATTGACCACACGTGAGCTGGAACTGTTATTTTCTTTTATTTATTTATACCACTGACATTTCATGTATGCAGACTTACTTTCCCTTTTTAAAAAAATCTTTCTGTATGAACATAAAATATTCCATCAGGTTGTACAGTGAACACTTGGCATCTCCCAATGCTTTAAATCTAACAAGGAAGGAGCAGAAGAGAGATGGAGGCTGCATTCACACAATAATTTATTCCACTTTTCCTTACTGTTAATTTCTGCATTATATTTAAGCCTTCACATAACATAAATGCTACTTCTGGAAATACAGCAGAATATTGTGCAACTTTCTGTGTTATTTGCAAATATTTTGTTTTCCTTGAAGCAAATTGCTAAACTTGAACTATATATCACTATATTGCTTTAGGTGGCTTTCTGTGTCATGTGAAAGCCGAAATATAATGTGGAAATTAACAGCTAGGGAAATGGAATGGACTGCTGTGTGAATGAAGCCAAAGAGAAGAGGAATCACCTTGATATAACCGTATAAAAAGAAAGGGAGGGGGAGGTTGTAATAGGAAAGAAAGTGCAAGAAGCAGTTTGCTAATTTAAGGTAAAGGCATTCCAGTAAAAAGTACTTTAAAACAATACATTTCATACAAGTTTGTCCCTGTTGATCCCATCCTGTTCCAACCAATTCCTAGGCATCCCGTGCCCCTTTGGTCAGTCTTTCCACTTTGGTGTGTGAAGAAATGCAAATGTAAAGAAAGAATGACGTTTTCCAGGGAATGACAAAGGAATGGAACTATTCACAGACAGTGAGTATGGCTTGGATGCAACATTAGTCCTAACCCAGAGTAGACCTGTTGAAATTAATGGTCATGACTAACTTAGGTCCATCTATTTTAATGGGTCAACTCTGAGTAGAAAGAATATTGCATACAACCCTTTGGCAAACTTGAACTGAAGCTGGGTTTAAAAACAAAACAGAAAACACACATTAAAACTCAGAAAGGACATGTGTCAACATTTTAATTCTGAAATCCAAGTTACAGTTTTGAGGGCCCCTCTTGGTGGATATTTGGGCACTGATATGTTTTAAATGGCAAACAACCATTTCAAGTACTCGAGTATTTTGAGTATTTTCTTTTGGGGGGATGGAGCTGGATTTTGAAAGACAGTACAATTTTACTTTGGCTCCAGTAGTGTACATTACTATGGCCTCACCAAGACCTGTTGAAATCCATTGACTATCAAGTGACTAAGAACTAAGTTACATAATCAGCAGTTCCATGTGAAGTATCTGTTGCTAGATGGCGACACTTCAGACTGTAGCTGTGGGATCAAGTGTTTGAATGTTCTTGGAAAGCTAGCATGTCAGGAAGAATGTTTGACCCTGGCTTTCTCCTTGCAATGCTAGCTTTCAATGTATAGCGGATTTATTTATTTATATGCAGGCACATTCAAACATCTGATCTCTGCTCAGGTGAGAATTCCTTCAGAGTTTGCTGTTCTGTCCTTAGCACCAATCTGCACACACAGAAAAATGTAGCAAGTGTCAGGCTACATAAGTAAACATAACTTGCTGCATGCCAAAAAGTTGCAAAAGTCTTAAATTAATGAATGAAGAGAGGAAGAAACAAAGACCTATTGTGCCCCGATTCTATATGCATCTACTTAAAAGGAAATTCCATGCATTTTATGGAACTTGCTTCTAAGCACATATGCTTAAACAGAATGATTTAATAATAATAAAAAAAGTTCTGTCAAATAGTGGTACTTAGTGACTTGGTGCCAGTACCAGACTGGCCCATGAATTAGCATACAGATCTATCTCTAATTGCAGGTAAGACATAAGACTTTTACAAAACAAAAACAAAAAAGTGTAGATTTTGCTGTAGTTGACATTATTAAGAAGACACGCTGCTTAGCAACCCAGCCAATCCGATTTCACATTGCCAACTTTAACAATCTTTAGACTCTGGTCTTCCATTTTGAGATAATACCAGTCCTTGAAGAAATAGCTGTGGCCTGTAAAGAAGAAGCAAGTGTTTTCAATTCATTGTCATTTAAAACAAACTTATGGGACTCACAAAAATCACAGCAAAGCAAGGAAAGGGGTTCAACTCAATGATTCTGAAGTTGGCTGGAGACTTTTGAACTTTGTTCGGTCTAGAACAACTATTATGACTACTTAACCCCGGGGCTTTCAAGCTATGTGATATCCAGTTACACCAGTGGTTTCCAAAATGAGTGGTACTGTCCCCTGGGGAGCAGTGAGATTGCCTTGGAGACTGCTAAGAGGCAAGGGGGTGGCTGGAGTGGGGCAACGGAGGTGTAAAGGACTATCAGACTTTGAAAAGCTGGTGTTGCTGGATCACATTCATCAATTTTGTTGAATGAATTAAGCTAAATAGCTTTAACTGGATTTTGAACAAACATGCAATTAATTGTTACTGTATTGGAATTTATTGTGTTATTATCTTCCTTAGGGGGCCATGCAAACTGAATAATGCTTTTTATAGGGTAGGGAGCACATGATATGAGTTTACAGAACCAATGGGACGGTGCCCCCAAAATGTTTGGGAACCACTGAGTTACACCTTGTGGTGTTAGGAAACCCCCTCCCCCAACAACAATAATTAAGAAAAATAATTATTAAGATGCTTCAGGAGTACAAACATAAGTCACATTAAATATGCTTTATGGGAACTGTGATTCTATGGAGACGCTGAGAATTTCTATTTGAGTATTTACTTGCGGCAATACACACACACACACACACACACACACACACATGCTCACACACAGACACTGGTTTTAAGTTACCATTTTATTTTAATTTATTTTATTATTTTAAAGGAGAAAATTGATATAAATTGAACCAGAGTCTAATCTTTCTTTCTTCCCACCCCCATGAAAGGTCTTTAGTTATTCAGGAGATTCAGTTCAAGGGGAGTCTTGGTTGCCGGCACAGCAATGAATGCAGCAGTTCTTAACCACAATCTGTGCTGCATTAAAAGTGGTTTTGATTACTCTGCTGGAGATGAGTTATTTAGACAGCCCGGAAAAGTTCAGGAAAGGTCAGGCTTCCTAAATTTCCTTGCAGCAGTGGGACATTTTAATTGAAGAGAAAAGCTGTTCTGCGGCTGCAGGCGGCACGCCAAGCCATCAGCCGATTTGGTGACCACCTCCAAAGGGAATGTCTCTGAGGATTCATGCAGCAGACTGGAGCAATCGACCTCAGAAGCAACAACAGCAGCAGCAACAGCAACTGACACTAGGAACAAGATGGCAACTTACCACTTCCGCTCACGTCAAACACAGCATCTAGGTTGTCTGGAACACCATTCCAAGCATCTGCAATTAATTTAGGGAAGCCAGGGTCCATTTTCTTCTTTACTTCATTGTACCTGTGAAATATTAAATATTAGCAGAGTTTTGCAGTAGTCATACCAAATACCTAATGCCACAAGCTGCTGTCTTCCACAAAGCCCATCTGTATCACCGCTGCTCAGAAGAGACTATAATGGCCTAGATCAGGGGTTGACCAATAGGTGCCTTGGGATGCGGGTGGCACTGTGGGTTAAACCACAGAGCCTAGGACTTGCCGATCAGAAGGTCCGCGGTTCGAATCCCCGCGAGGGGGTGAGCTCCCGTTGCTCGGTCCCTGCTCCTGCCAACCTAGCAGTTCGAAAGCATGTCAAAGTGCAAGTAGATAAATAGGTACTGCTCAAGCGGGAAGGTAAGCGGCGTTTCTGTGCACTGCTCTGGTTCACCAGAAGCAGCTTAGTCATGCTGGCCACATGACCCGGAAGCTGTACGCCGGCTCCCTTGGCCAATAAAGCGAGATGAGCGCTGCAACCCCAGAGTCAGTCACGAACTGGACCTAATGGTCAAGGGTCCCTTTACCTTTACCTAGAAGTTGTTGAATTAGAGTTCCCTTCATCCCTGGGTACTGGCCATGCTGGTCAAGGCTGATGGGAGCTGGAGTCCAGCAACAGGTAGCACATACCACATCAGCTATCCCCTAGCTAGATGATGCAATGGTCTGTCCCACTAGAAGGCAGCTTCATATGAGCCTGTAGTAACACTGAAGAAAGCCTGGGAAAAGGTTTCTGCTTGAGGACTGCAATCTTAGGGGGCAGCTCATTAATTTTAATAGAATACATATCCGGGTTCCATGCCATTTGGGGTTGGGTTGGGGAGAAGGAAATAAAAGTGTTTCATTTTCCTCCATATGGTTTAGTTTATATTTATTTATCTTTTCTCTAAGCCACTGTCAACAGAGAGCTATGGATCAGCCTAAATCCCCACCTTGTCGTGTGTATCACGGGAACTCAGTTTTGCTCTCTTGAGGCCCAGATCCCCAACTTCTACATGTGATTCGGGATTCATTCAAAGTAACTGTATATCCCTAATCTAAACTGCTTTTGACTCTCCTGCAACTGAGATGCTCTGGTCTCCATCAAAGCAAAAGCAAAATGCCTTGAAATCTGAATCTTAGCAGGGAATAAGTGCCCAACATTGTATTGTCCAGCCACTGGTTGCCTGCTGAAAAGGTATTACCTCCAAAATTTGTCCCCTGCAAAAATGTAGGTCTTCTTGTTTTTGCTCCAACTAAAAGCTGCATTGACACGTTGCACATCAGGAGGTAAACCCAGACTAGTGAGTCTCTTCGGATAACCTCTTTCCAAGTTGTAGCCTGAATAAACCCAGTATTCATTTCCTGTGAAAACAAAAGCATCAAGTTTAATAATGATCTCACTTACAAATGAGGTTAGCGGGAAGGGGAAAGGGTTACCTCGATCCGAGCTTCTCAGATTTCCTCACAGTTTAGCTAAAGGGGGAATGGGTAGAGAGGAGCCAAAAGTTCATTTCAGAACTTTTCCAGCTCAAAAGTTGGGGCTCGGGGGGTGCTTCTGTTTTGTGAATGGGATACACAGTTGCATCCTGACAAATTCAGGTTGTGCAACTGAAGTGGATTTGGCATTTTGATGCAGCTAACCTGCTTCCAGAAAAGCTGAACTTTGTCCGGTAAGGAAAACAATGGGGGATATTCACTGGAAAGTATGGGGTAACAATTGCTTAACATAATGCCATATAACTTCCCTTCAGACTTTGTGCAAAGGAAGCAAGATGAATTCTCAACAGAACACTCACCAGAAAGCAACAATAGTTTGTGTACCAGAGAGACAAATTAACAGAGCAACCCAATTTTTTTAAAAAAATCCAATGTAATTTTCACCAGATTAAGTTGTCCCTATCCCAAACTCTTTTCAGTTGGAATTTCACTTACACTTTTTGCTGGCTAATATCCATTGGGCTGCTAGCTCATAGGACCAAGTTGAAAGGGGTTTGGAATAGATGTCTCTCCTTGCTCTGTCCTGTCCCTGCCATGCTGCTGCCACACCCCTGGAATGGTACTTTGGGGGGATTTAAAAGGTAAAGGTACCCCTGCCCATACGGGCCAGTCTTGCCAGACTCTAGGGTTGTGCGCTCATCTCACTCTATAGGCCGGGAGCCAGCGCTGTCCGCAGACACTTCCGGGCCACGTGGCCAGCGTGACAAGCTGCATCTGGCGAGCCAGCACAGCACACGGAATGCCGTTTACCTTCCCGCTGGTAAGAATTCCGCTGGCTGAAGTTGAGCCAGGTGAGGGATTTGCACCAGCATATCTCCGGCTCAGCTGGGCTAAGGGAATTACACCAGTAAAAGGCAGATTTGGGGCAGCGCTACAGGTTCTGCCACACTGGGCACCAAGCCTAAGGGGCGCTGCGGGGCGTCACAACTATGATGTAGTGAATTGAGCAGAATGGAAGGCGAGGGGCATGGGGAGGGCACTGAATTCTGGCCTGCTGAAATCTGAAAGACCCAAGTCTGCCCCTGTGCCAGTATAGCTTTGGCTGAGCTGGGAAAGCTCAAGACTAGCCAAATCTAAACCCTCTCAGCCTGGTGGATCTCAAGTTTAAGTAGTGCTGTTAGCATAGTCCTCTCCTTGAGAGTGAGCCACATTGACTCTGACCTTTTGTCACCCTCCAGGAAGTGATAGAGAGGCTTTTGTAATATATGTGGCGGTGACCTAGTGAGCAACAGGGAAAAAGCGTTTCTTTAGAAAAGTTGGAACTGCGCATGCTTGAGACCTGCGCTTTTAGGAGTGGTTCAGAGATGGATGCCACACTGCAGATGGTATAAACAGAAACCAAGAACTCAAACCCATTATTGTTTCATCTTACTGGTATAACCTACAAACTTTATAGCTTCCATGTGCACAAGCAACCAGAACGTTTATGCATGCATATTCTTTTTAAAGAAAAAGAAGTCATCTTATTAGTTTTAGATTAGCCTGTACATTATTTTAAATTGGGCAATGGCCCACCACATGACTCTTACTCACTTGAGATGGGAACTGGGGGTGTTTTTGTTTGATAACATTTGGAACGCACATATTTGCTTGCTGACCTCTTAGCAATTTGCCAGTTTGCATTGTTTTGGATTTTTCCATATAGTGAGCTAACTACGGCAAATTTCTTCAGCAAAGAGTATTTAAAACCCTACTTCACCCTACGGTCCCACAGGGGGAGTGGGGATGTAATGCTTGGACACAGACAAATGAGGTGTTTTGGCTACATCCAGTTTATCATGGAATTCAAACTCAGCGGCCCTTCAGCCATGTGGAATTCATTATCAGAATTTCCCCTTCCCTTTAAAGAAATTGTTGAGCAGCATCTAGCCATAGGTTTTCCCTCCCTTTTTCCCCTTTAGCATGCTTGGAGATGTTTAGTCATGTTGCAATGGATAACAACACACTTTTCTTTTTTGCTGGCTCAGTTATTCAAAACATTGACAACAACCTCCCAGCTCCACTAGGTCAGCCAGCACAACTGCAGCAGATATCAACAGGCACACATATAAATGGTCAACAGGAAATGCAATCTCTCCCTCGCTTTCATTGTCCCATGAGACCACATTCACTCCATATATTTAAAAGCACTACAACACCACTTTAAACAGTCATAGCTTCCCCAGAGAATCCTGGGAGCTGAGATTTCTTAATGGTGCTGAGCGTCTCCCGGAGCTACAGTTCCTGGTGGTTTACTTTATTCATTTCTTAAAATGTATGCACTGTTTGATGTTTTTTAAAAAGGAAAACCTTCAAAGCGGTTTACAAAAAGATAAAATAATAAAATCAAGAAAAAATTACAATACTTTGAAACAAACAAACCCGAAACCAAATGAAAAACAAAAACAGAACACAATAGGTTTAATAGTCAATTCCTCTTCACAGGGAGTGGCCTGTTGGTCTGTCCCAGAACTCTGGGGTCCTTTTCACATTATCCTAACAACAAGCTGGGAGTTGCTGCTGCAAAATATGAAAAGCCCAAGTCACGGGTCCAGCCCTACCATTAGGTAGAAGGAAGTTGCTGCCACAACCAGCTGATTTGTGAGTCACAAAAGGGCATGCAGTGCTTTTATATTTAATTTATTATCACTGTATTTTTTACTTTCAGATAGAAGCACTTTGCTAAAGAAGAAGAAGAAGAAGAAGAAGAAGAAGAAGAAGAAGAAGAAGAAGAAGAAGTAAACAAGCAGCAGGCATAGCAAGGGGCAGAGGAAGTTCCAGCACAGGACTGCAATGGGTTAAACGGTTAAAGCCCCCTTTCCCACCACCAGGATTCTGATCTGTTATTAATTTTTTTAAGGTCTTTCATGCATTTCTTGATGGCATGAATTGTGTTTCATCATGACTTTCCCCCTCTAAGTCAGGGTTAGCCCTCCAGATGTTGCCTAACTACATCTCCCATCAGCCCCAGCCTGCTTGGCCACTGGCCAGGGATGATGGGAGTTGCAGTCTAACAACAACTAGAGGGCCCTGAGCTAGCCATCCAGAGCTTATCATTTAAGAAGGTGGTCTACAGAATAAAAGGATACAGAATGCCATACTTCTGCAAACTGTGCTTACTGTACACCTTCCAGCCAAGCCTACCTGAAAAAAAGACTGATTTCTCTTCTTGAGGGGCCTCGTAGACAGCGTCAATTTTTTCTGGGAGCTCTGGCCAGAACGTAGCAATCAGCAAAGGACCACTTGGCCTGTTTCGTTGGTTTGCCGTCCTCCAGATGAATCTAGGCAGAAAAATCACAGTGAGTTTACAAAGGGCTGATTCATTGGCACATCTGTTTCTCATCACTGCTGGCAAAGGTGCGTGTGTGTATTTAAGTGCCTGTGTGTGTGTGTGTGTGTGTGTGTGTGTGTATGCACACACACACACACAATCCATCAGCAACACAAACATAATTATTAGGATTTTTTTAAAACAAAATTGCATCAAAGGTTGGTGAGCCTTCCTTTCTTTGGGAGGCATTTTTGTCCCATAGACACCTTAATGCGCCGCACACAGCCATTGATGGTTTATAACAAGTTCTCTAGCACTTACATTAATTCTTACCGCAGAACAGAAAAAAAGAATGTATTTGGTGCTTCAATTATCCCAGCAAATAAACCCATTTACAAGGCACTTAAACCCTTTCAACCATCCCCGTCGCTGCACATTGAACAGATGGATACGCATTTGGCAAATGCCAACATTTGTATTGGGTGCATTACTCTGGATGATTATGATTGTAGCAACCAAAAAGATCAAATCTAATGATCATCTATCAAACAGCTTGGCTGTAAATGAAGCCTGGAGCATTAAAACCGCTCATCAGAGGAGTAAAGCGGGTAATTTAGGAGCTGTTTTATGTATAAGGCAGTGCCTCCTTCCGATTTATGAGCATTAAAAAACTGCAGTTTGATTTCAGCGGCGGCGGTTGATTGTGTGTGTGGAAAGGGAGTGGAGAAGCACAAGATGTTAACAAAAGCACTATTGTGATTCTCTCTCTCTGCCCCCCCCCAACTTTGTTTGATAAGCAGTTCATTTTATTCAAAGGACACACACACACAAAATGGCCTTGTACCAGCTGGCCATTTTAGTAGGCAACAAGTTTGCTGAACCTTTCCCAAAAAGATGAGGCTGCAATTTGCTGAACGTCAAGAAAATTCCTTGCTTGTATTAGAACCTTGTCTACCAGCATTATCCAGCTTTGCATTTTGTGGAATGGAGGCTGGATTTCAGCAGGAGTGAAAAAGAACACTCATGATTTGTAACTGGAACTTGGACTTAGGTGGCCTTCCCAGCACAATTTAAACCTTCTTTGCACAATTATTATTACAGCCACATGGGCAGAAGTAATCACACAGGACCTTTCCATGGTTTGTCACTTGGACAGAACGGAAGCTGTTGAACATCCTGTGCCAATAGACCCACATAGACCATCCTGGTGTTCGTGAGCATACCAAGATGCATGAGATACTATCATAGGTCTGTGGTCACGTGTCATCACAGGGGAAGCAAATTTTGGGTTGTACCCAGTGTTCTCCATTCACTACTGCAAGGGCTTTTGTGCTAATGGATGGGTTAATTTTAATGTTCAACAGTAGATGGAACCAAGACAACAGCTGCACTGGCAGAAACTCATTGCACAAGAGATTGTGCCATCTGTTGTGCAACAAAGTTACCAGCAATCTGCTCATGCATTCTCTTGCACTGCAAGACATTTCACCAGTACAACAAGTATACCATGAAGTGAATACAGCTCTATAAGTTTTTCCATTGACAGAGCAGAAAACTTACCTTAGATATTATTCCATCTAAGGTTCCATATTTTGTTCAAAGGGAGGGGGGAAGCTGACACCAGTGAGCTAATCTCACAAGCAACTAATTTACTGAATGCCTTGTATTAAGAGGAGATGGCAATTTGTTACCCTCAATATATTGCTGGACTCCAGCTCCAAACAACCCCTGTTAGCATGACCAATGGTCAGGGAGGATGGGAGCTGCAGTTCATGAACTTCTGCTGAGTTACAGGATCCCAATCCCTGATCTCAGTTATGGAACCATTCTGTCTCTCTGCAGTGGAGGGAGGGATGAGACAAGATAACAGGGCCTTTCTTTTCCTAGCCAGAGTTAGCAAGTTAGAAAGGGCCATTTTAGTACTTCAGGAAAATCCAAGAGAATTCCAGCTGAAAAATTCAACAGGGGAGAGATTTCTGGGCATGCAGCCGGCACCAACAACTATTAAGTGGCTTGGATTTTGAAAGCTCCTTTTCCTGAGCATGCCTGGATGGGTTATTTGGTTTAAGTCAAAGCATCCAAGCCTCTCATGTTTCTGCGCCGCACATAACTGGGTCAGCTTCCAAAACTGTTGGAACAAATCTGGTCATTTTAAAAATGTACACAGTTCTTGAATGTCTGGAAAAATGCAATATCCACTGACATTTTCGTCGTTGCCAGTTTTGTAACATTGGAACTGGGGTTTTCCTTCTCTTGGCAGTACTGCTGACAATACTTTTAACATGTTTATTGCCATAGCAAAACAAGAGCTAGTCTAAGTAGAGAATTAAAGGGAGAGACAGGAAGTCCCAGATACGGCAAACATGCCAACTTCAGTTTATCTCCAAGAGTCCCTTCCTTCAATGAATGTAGTTCATCAGATGCTGCTCCTCTTTTTCATTTATTTATCTATACCACTTGATTCAAGGCATCATCCAGACTGACCCCGCAGAACCCAACAACATGAATAAGACTTGATCATAGGCCCTCAGCTTCTGCTTTCGCTTCGGTACAAGATAACTTGAGTAAAACAGGCTATTTCCTCCCACCTACCGGTCTTTGAAGTAGAAGATTTCCCCTCTGAGTTGAGCAACAGCATCAAATACAATGTCTTGGTTGCATAGTTCAGGGGTGACTGGCCCAAGTGTTGGACTTGGGCCTGGACCAACATCAGTAGAGCCCCCTGCAAATAAAGGGAAGGTTGATAAAGGAATGAGGTCTTAATGTGATTATTCCTTTTTTAAAAAGGAGATGTCAACAAGAGGACAACAACACAATTTCATTTCCAAATTTATTTCTGGTGAAAGTAAAATGTAGTGCCTGAGGATCAGGGCAACAAATAGAGGTGGATGGAAAGGGTTGACCATTTGAATCATGAGGCAAAGGACAAATGACTACTCCCTTGCTCCATAGACAGAAGCTGACCAGACTGGCAGTTGTATCTTATGTTAGCATTGGAAATGGGGCAGCATGATCCAGTGGTAAAAAGAAGGGCTGCAGCTTAGTGACAGAGCATCTTCTTTGCATTCAGAAAGCTCCAGGTTCCACTCCCAGCACCTCCAGGTAGGGCTTGGTTTGTCCTCTGTCTGAAACCCTGGAGAGCTACTATCACTCTGTATTAGATGGACCAAAGGTATGACTCAGTATAAGGCAACTTCTTATGTACCTGGGTTCATACGTCCATTGCAACTGAGAGCCTATGGGCCCCAGGGCAGAATGAAAGGCATGCAGATCTGTCCTCCAGCACCTTGTCACTGCTTCTTGCCCCTCAGCATTCTCTGCCCAAGGAGTCTGCCTCACTCAGCCTAATGGTAGGGCCAACCCTGTGGCAAGGGATATTCAGTCTTATCTGTAGCAGCCTGGCAGGTAGAATACCTGAGATGTCTCAGGGGGTTTTGTATCAGCTAAGCTTCTTTGGACAGTATGTGTTCTGCTATATGCCAAAATGTAGTACATGTGTTTTGGACAAGTGGAAACATTACCATAAAGTTCCTGGATTCCCGTGATGTCATCCTGGGAAAGCCGAAAGTTCTTGGTGTAGGTATAGATGGGGGCCATGAGTGCTCCAGGATCTTCAGAATGCTCTAGTCCCATGGCATGACCAAATTCATGAGCAGCAACCAGGAAAAGGCTGTAGCCTGAAAGAAAAACAAACCGGGTTTGGGGCAGCTTGAACATAATGCTATCTATATATTTAATTGCAGAGCCAATCTGACTATTCCTTAAAAGCTCTGCTACTAGGGGTTGGAAGAGATCCGGCTTCTGTGTACTGAAATCAGACATAGCCTAGCTGTGCTAGCAAAGCTTCTGAGGTGCTATGGAATGTTTAAAAATATTCCAGGTGTTCAGCAAAGAAAGCCCGGGGACAGGTGACACTGCACTGTTGGCACAAAGGAAAAGAGGTGCCATTGCAGTTACAGTATCATTCAACTGTTATAGCTTCTTTTCAGAAATCTTTGAATGAGTGTGGAAAGCAGAGTGGGATCTTGTGTTGTGCCCTGGCCTCTGACATACACAAACAGCTTAGGCCTTAAATATCCGAAGGACCACCTCCTTCCCTACATATGCTTTTGGTAGTGGCCCCTAAGCTGTGGAATTCCCTCCCCATGGTGATACATTTGGCACCTTCATTGTGTATTTTGTGTCAGATGTTGAATATAATCTCTTTACCATGGCCTTTGATAAATGAATATTTTGGGACCCACCCTATTTTCTTGACTGAAATTGGTTTTAACTGTTTTTAACATTGTATGTTGTAATTTTGCAAGGAATAATGAAGAAGAATGAGAACAGCAGCAGGAGCAGCAACAACAACAACAAGAAACATGTATAGGTTCACTCCACATTATCAGAATTACCAAAAAAGCAGGGTTCAATTTAATATGGAAATAACCACATGTGACCACAGTTGTGCTTGTAAACTTTGTTCTGGCCTTCAGTTGAATGCTTCCTATGTTCCTGTCTTCAAAGGTCATCACTTAGGAAATTTCATGAGACAACTCTTCTTCCTGTTGTGAAGGCGACTCATTTGTTTTATGTTTTGCTGTTTTGCAATCTACAGTATTCTACATAGTACTCTAGGTTGTATTTCTGAGAAGTGCCTAAGTGAGATGTTTTGATTCACCAAGGACAAACGTAACCACAATCTGGACCTTCAATCTGTTTTCAACATGTTTAAGAGGAGGGAGGGTTGTGTGCACAGCAAAATGGCTGCACCCAGCCATAAAGCATGAGGGTTGTATGTACAATAAAAGAGAAGAAAATAGTGCACAGTCACTTCCTGCACTGTTTTTGAAATAATTTTTATCTGCCGTTGTTGAGGTGCCACATTCAGAAGCTGCTCCAAGCAGCTATATGCTGTTAAAAGCAAGACTAAGAAGAAGAGGGAATGCAGAACAACTCTCAGTATGCTTCATAAGTACGCCTCAATTTGCTTTTTTGCTCAGGTGACTGTTTTAAGATGCATATTTTTTTAGGATATCCGTGGAACCCTGGAATCATCCTAACCGAATTCACACAGAGACATAGTGGAATGTCCACAAGCAGGGCTGGCTGAAGACATTTTGGCACCTGAGGTGAATCACAAAGTGCCCCCCCCCCGAATCATGCCAGGCATGTGTAGAGCCCAGGAGACCCCAGAGGGCAGCCCTGTTATTTCCTTATTAGGGGTGGGAGGAGACCAGCAGTTTTGTTTCTCATTTTGAAACTTTTAAGTTCAGTTCTCCATATTTCCACCTCAGTTTCCACCACCATTTTATTCCAAATGTTTCCTAACACACACATTTGTGTGCAATTTTGCCTAATATAGAAAACATATCTTTGCAAAGTAATTTCCCCTAATATATTTTTGTATGTTATTTTCACAAAGATATGCATATGTATGCACACTTTACCCCCTGCATTGGCATTTTTGTATACATTACATGATGGGAGAACCACAATGCAAAATTCAGAGAAGTGCAAATATTGAAGGATGACATTGATTCAATTTCTATATTGTTTGAGAAAGGTCAAGATATGTAGGTTCACCTTTAAATGCTAACTGTGTTGAATTTATCCCTATCCATGTTGGAACTAGAGTGATTGTGCACCCCCAATTCCTACTTTAGAGAACTGAAGCTAGTGTGCATATATGACAGCCAGTGTGGTGTAGTGGTTAGGGAGTTAGACTAGAATCTGGAAGACCTGGGTTCAAATCCCCACTTGGCCACGAAGCTCTCTGGGTGACCTTGGGCCAGTCACAAATTCTCAGCTTAATCTACCTCACAGGGTTATTGTGGGGATATTATGAAGAGAGGGAGATCCATGTGTGCCACTGGGAGCTCCTTGGAGAAAAAGCGGGATGAAAATCAAATAATAAATATGAGGAAAAGAGCTACCTTGATCTGGACAAAATCCCCACTTGCGGTCTTCGTCATAGTTGCTAGTTGAGGAACACCACATCTTCCCATCCTGACGCCCAGAGCTGGTACAGGACTCGTACTTATTCCCAAGGAATATGAAAGGAAAAACACAGGGTGCTCCTTCAGAGTTTCCACCAACCGTTGACATTGCTGCAGAAAAGAAGAAGCAAAAATAAGAGCTGATGTCTCCCTTTCCCATTCAGTCTCTTCATTATTTTGTGGATTCACTCTGCCATTCTGTCTGTGCTCCTGGAATTCTAGTTTGTTTCAGCTTTTGGTTCCTTCAGTTTATCCACATCTTATTTTTTGCAGTGTTGCCCCTGCAGAACTCAGCAGGGAGCAAGATGACTCTGGTTATGCCCATCATTGGCTCTAGCACCACCTACTAGTGGTCCCTGGGCCTTCTACCCCACCAGTCCCAAAGGCCACCTGCCACCACTACCATACATCATCATCTGGCATGAAAAAGTAACAACTGCTTCTTTCCATCTTCCCATCCTTAGGAGATTAAGGAACCTGAAAAGGTCCTCTCTCCAAAAAGAAGAGTAACGATTTAAGAAGCATTAACACACAGCCACCAATGTCATAGGGGAGAGGTTGCTTTCATTGGCATAAATCTACCCATGCAATAGCAAAGCGACTCTACCTGTCTCTGGACAAAATCCAAATTTCTTATCTCGGTCATAATCTTCAGTGGTCCCACACCATCTGTATCCATCTGTTCTTCCTTCCGTGGTACAGCTATCATAGGTGCTGCCTTGAAATTTGAAGGGGAACTTGCACGGCTGCCCATCACCATTTCCACCCATTGTGAATAGCACTGCAGAAGAAGGAGGGAGACATTTCAAACTTTTGGAAGATATCATTTGTGCTTTAATCCACTGCACATGTGGCTACGTGGCCAGAGGTATAGTGGTCTGGAATCAGTGATGAGGCCAAGACCTATTACTACTTCTGCAGTAGGGTCCCCATCTCCTAGAGCTGCCCAATCAGCATGAAAGGGGAGCTTTGCAGCCACTGAGAAGAAGTATTCTCACTCTTTGTTCTGATTGGAGCCAATCAGAGTGAAAGGAGGTAAATCAGCTACTGAGGATTGGCTCCTGGGGTCACCACAGGGTTATTCTGTCTGCTCCAAAGCTAAACATTTAAGAACACTGAAAACACAAGGTGCTTCTGTTTCACAAGGACAGTGCACAAATTCTATTACATACCATGGAACTTCAAGAAAAACACAACTCAAGTCACCCCAAAAGATGATATTGGAGCACTCAAAACCATTTGCCCATGTACATGCACAGAAAATAGTAGATCTAGCTGAAAGGCAACACATGGGGATCTGCATTGATGGTTGCAATGCACCCCTTACTGTTGTATAATTGTAAGGTTATTCTATCATCTTAGAAAGCTGTATAATCCAGCCTGCAACCATGATGAAGGGATCCTGCACTTCTGGATTTGCCGCTATATAACTTGATGCAAGCTCAATGGTAGAGTGTGTGCCTTGTGTGCAGAAAGTCCCAGGCTTAGTCTCTGGTATCTCCAGGTACTGCTGGCAAAGACTTTTGCCTGAAACCCTGGAAAGCTGCTACCATTGCACAGTTGACACTGACTGAGAGTGGTTGTCCAGGATTGGACCTGCAACCTTCTAGGAGTGAGGAACCTGCAGCCCATGAATCATTCTTGGTCTGCCAGGAAGTCCAGTTAAACACTGTAGACCAGAGGATGTCAACCTTTTTAGTTCAATGTAGGCACATTTGGATTTTGGAGTGAATGCTGTGGGCAGCACGTCCTTTGATCATTTCTCTCCCTCAGATCAACTCCCTTCCAAGAGACAGAAAGAGAGAAAGTGTGTGTGTGTGTGTGTGTGTGCACGTGCACGCACAGATTCTCCCAAGAGATCTGGGCAAAAGTAAGATCCAAGGCTCTTCTGAGCTTTGAAACACACACAGAACTGAAAGGGAAAGTGGGAAAGAGAATCACTCTCTCAACTTTCTTTTTCAGCTCAATGACCAATGGGGCAGAGAGGGGAGAGTGAGCACCAAGGGAAGACCTCAAATGCACCACAGGAGGGAATCCTCTGCTCACAAGTCGGCCACTTTTGGCCCCTGGGTCTGAGGTTCCCCACTTTTCCTGATCTAGGGCAAAGCAGTTCCAGGAGAAGAAATGCTATCCAAAGGCCTGTGTTTGAATTCCTTTTCTGCAAAGTATCTTTGCTGGAGCAAACAAAAAAAGATGAGTGAGCTAAGATGAGTCACTCGCTTTCCACTTAAGCTCCTTCCAGCTGTACGCCTCCACATTTTCAAAGGCACATTTTATTAGCTATGTACAAGTTGCAAAAAAACAAACCCAAATCCATCACAAACATATGGAAACTGAGTACAATGTTGCTTCATCCTGGAGTGACTGTAGGCTCCTGGCTGACACAGGAAGACACAGGGAAAAGTCAAACAGTCCTTTGTCTTTCTGCCATTTTCTTTAGCCTTCTTTGCTGTGTGAACAGCAGAGAAGTCTTTAATGATATGACAACCATAAAGAAAGAAGTCACTCTGTCCCGGTCAGGATACAAGCTGGAAGGTGCTCATTTGAAACTTAAGGGCCATGGGGTTTAGTATTTAAAAAGAGGTAGGAACCTCAGGCCTGAGAACCAGATGTGGCTCCACAGGGCTTTCTATCTTGTCCCTAGGCCTCTTCTGACCATGCCTCTCTTCCAAGACCACACACTCACCAACCCTGCTCTGCATCCTCCTCAGGTGCTTTTGCCTGCCTGAATGTGCACCTGAACTGTGATAATGCCACTGGTTTGCCTCCATGGAAGATGGAGGAAGGCTATCAAGATGAGCGGAAAGATTCAAGTGAGCAAGCTACTTCTTTGCTTCTGAAATTCTCTCCACCTCACCTCATCCACAAGCCTCATTTGGAGGTGTCAGCCATTTTTCAGGTGGTGTGAGCTATCATTAAGAATCAAGCAGGAGTAATAGCTTGCATTCTCCTTCAAACTCTCTCTGTATTGTTTGTGCTGAGTCATTTCCTGGTAGCTTAGTAGGTGGTACATTGGTACAAGGCATGGTCCAACCTTCTGTGCTCCTCATGTACCACTAGGCTGCACCTTTTCTCACAGTCTCCACCCCCAATTCTGCCAAGCATCACCTTTTAGCTCCAAGGCTGCACCTCCCAAGTGTCAGGTTCGACATTTAAGGGATCTGGCAATGCTGCTAGTGTATAAGAAATAGAAGGACATTATGCTGGAAGAGAACAGGGACATCATTTCCTACTGCAGGACCAGCCAGAGAGATATTTTATTAGGAGGAGCGAAGTGTGTTGGCAGAGAGAAAGTAGATACATATATATTTAGCATCTAACTTTCCTCCTTCCTAAAAATTGTCTCCACAGTTGACATCCTGGCTTGAGAACAACAGACCGCACCAATTTTACAATCTGTGAACAAGTTTTTCCCCTTTAAGAATTCATTCCAAATTTCAAAGAGAGAAATCGTCTGTAAATCTTGGCTTTCTATATCCACAGCTAGCAAGAGCAAGGAACCAAATAGAAGCTCAGCTTGCCAGATTCCACAGAACTTTTCCCTCAGTATTTGAATGTGCGGTTTCTCAAAGTATAGAGCGTCACTTTTTCTCTGCTTAAAAATTGGGCAGCTTGAAGAGCTTTGTAAGAAGGAGAAAAGCCTCAAGATATTTGCTGAGCTTAAAAATCATTTTCTGCCTCTGAAAGCTTCAAGGCTTCCCGTACAACAAAATGTGGCAGAATGAAGATAACTGGGATCTAATGGTCTCATCTCACTTTTCCTATCTTTGGCAAAATACAGTTATATCTCTCTGAGAGACCGATAAGAGCTCTATAATTCTTGTCTTACAATATGGAAGTGGACACATGCAACTCATCAAAGCACATCTCATATTTTTCTACTGTACTTACAATGAGTAGGGTCTATTTCCTGGTACCTGCCCAAGATAAAGCATTGCTCTTATTTTGCAGAGATTTTATTAGTGTATGTGCTAGCATCGCTATTCTTCAGGTTCCAGACCCACTTCCCCTAGCAGAGAGTGGCAGAATGCATGCTTTGAATACAAGTGGTTCAAATTCCACCCATTCTAGTTTAAAAAAGAATTAAAGAGCAAGCCAAGAGTAATCTCTCTCTCTCCCTCTCCATAATACTAGAAATTCAGGTTATCCAGTGAAGTTCAATGGTGAGCGATTCAGACCAGACAAATTTAAGCATTGCACACAGTGCATACTTAAACAAGGGAATACACTGCCACAAGATGGCCACCAACTTGGAAGGCTTTAAAAAGAGAGTAGATAAATTCACAGGGGATAAAACTATCCATGAGTACATAGCCATCATGGCTACTAGCAACACCACTGCCGAAAGAGTTTTGCCTCAGAAAACCAGTTGTGGGGATTCACAAGTCCAAATTATATGTTGTTGGCATAATGCTCCAGTAAACCGGAAGTGGCCCATGAGGGTCGTTTTAACCAGCCCATGAGCCAATCCCAAACCGAGACGCCCGTTCGGCGAGTCCTTGCGTGCTGCACTAAAGTGGTGTGGGGACTCTCTTCCACGGCTCCGGAAATCGGTTCTGCACATGCCCAGACCCCGGAAATTGCATCTGTGCATGTCTGCAGCACCGGAAATCGCTTCTGCGCAGGTGTGATTTTTGGCATCTGGGCATGCGCAGAAGCGATTTGCAGTGTAGCGCTGCACTGGTCCGGCCCACGGAGGATCTCCACGGGAATGATCCAGCCCATGCCCGGTAAGCCTTGCCGACCGCTGAGTAAGAGCCTGTCTCTAATTTTTTGGCTTCTTGGAGTACACCAGGGGACATCTTATCACCTATGGTGGGAATCCCCTTCTGTGGCAAGCTTATGGGGAAACATAGCCTTGGAAAAACAACACCAAACAAACAAAACAAGATTAAATACGTCATTTTTCTAGTTTTGCTAAATATCTGGGATGGAGTGGGCAAAAATCTTAAAAGCAAAAAGCTGATTGGTTTCATGTTGATAGCAGTGAGATTTCAGCCACATTTGTACCTTCTATTTAAAGCACTATGATACCACAAGTGCACCCCAAAACTATCATGTCCAGACCAGCACTCTGATGTCTCCAAAGGGATTTTGCATGGGAGGGACCTGGCCAGCTTACACAATTGGAGGCACACTGATACAACCATTGACCCCATATTTCCAATGAGAAACTAAAGACATCATACATGTCATCTGGGAAAGGCCACAATATGCTTCTAAATTAAAACAAAGCGCAGCTCTCTGCTTCTGTCAGTCAACTTACATTCATGGGGACAGAATCCGTATTTGCCGTCCGCATCAAAGTTGTATGTTGTCGAACACCAAAGGAATCCATCACTCCGACCTGCATCGGTGCAGCTGTTATATTCTTTGTCATTGAACAGGAATGGGAATTTGCAGAATTCCCCATCTGCATTGCCGTATTTCACTCTAACAACTTGAAAGGGAAAGAACAGAGACTCTGTCAGGAGGGGTCAAAATATAAATGTGAGTTTCTCAGCAGAATTTCTAGAGCGGGGTGTCAAAGAACACTGTAGCTAAAAGCAGAACTTGCTTAGACATTGAACTACAGGAGAGTCACCTGGAAATACATTAAACAGTAGAAGATGTTTAATGTAAGCTAATCTGTGAAGACCTTATGTGACCTACTAATTTTTTTTTTATTGTTTATCTGATGCCTTCCTGACATTGGCCATTGCTCAGTGGAAGTGCTGGCTTCAGCCCTTCAAGACTGGCAGGGCAGAAGGAAGGAGTCAACTAGGTGAGTTACTCCTGCCTTCAGATGCCTTGAAGTTGCCCATCAACATTTATTGCCTGGACAGCAAAGTGAGCTGGTGCTCACCGTTCACCTGGTTCTAATCTTCCCCACTCTGGTGTGAGATGCATTTAAATTATAGTATTTTGCATAAGTTCCTAAATATTAGCATATGAAAATGTTGCTGGACTCCAACGCCTATCATCCTGAGCCAACATTGCCAATGGTCACCTGAAGGTAATTCTGAGGGATCAGCCCTAAATCTACACCAGCCTTCCCAAACCTGGTGTCCTCTGTGTATTTTAGACTCCAATTCCCATCAGCCTCAGTTAGCATAGTCAGTGGTCAGGGATGGTGGGGGCTGGACTCCAACAACATCTAGATAGTATTGGGTTGGGGAAGGCTGATCTACACTGTTTTGCTGTCCAGTCTTTCTGGTAACAGTCGACATTCAGCGATGTTTTGAATCCATCAGCAGCTGCCATACCTTGTCCTTCACCCAAAGTCCAAAGCTCATCATCGTCAAAATGGGAGTCCCCACCAACCCCAGGCCCAGGGGCAAAGGCGTGGGCCAGGAGACCATCCTTGCCATCAAAAGGATACCCATCACCATGCTCTGCAGAAGAAAGAAGAAATAAAGTGGCATTAAATACAGGAAAACAAGTATCTAAAATAGTTGAATAATCATGCCCTCTTTAAAATAGCTAGGTTGTTTTTTCTACAATTTTTATGGGCTGATGAATCATTTAATGCTTCCCTTTCTGTTTTACTTTGTGTGCGTTTAAGTAAAGGAATTCTTTTTATTATATTTGATTTTTATTCTCTTGTGCTGATTTACATTTTATTGATGAAAAATCTTCTCTGGGACCTGTTGGCAGTAGCGGGAAAACACACCTCTGAAATATATAAATAAACACTGCATTTTCCTTTTTTGCCTTTCTTGTTGTGGTCTCGCCACTAACATAGGAAACTGACTTATACTAAGATGCCATGAACTGAACCTGGGACCTTATGCATACAAAGCAGATGTTCTACCTTGGAGCTATTCAGGGTCTCTCTCTCTCCTTGGGTGTCTATGAATAAAGCTGTGTGTATTTTCTGCACCAAGTCATTTCAAGTCTCTCCTTCCTCCTCGGGTGAAGGCCGAGTTCTTGGCTTCTCCCGTTATTTCACCGAAAGCTTTTCTTGGAAAAGCAACCTCCTGGCAAGGGCATAACCCTGTTATTCATCAGTTTCTCACCAGCAGCCTGGCCAATGACACTGCCTGCGGTGACCACTTTTGCATCACTGAGGACTTTCTGGGTTTGATCCCTTGCCATTGGAAACAAATGTCAGATGCTCCCAGCCAAACCCTGAGTTCTCAGCTATGTGTACCTTAGGTTAGAGCAAGGCCAGCCGGAGGCACACTGGCAGAGCATAGCTGAGAAGTGAAACTCCTTCCTAGGGACAGAAGGGCAGAATCCCAGAAGAATGGAGCAGACTTAATAATATAGGAAGAGCCCTGCTGGTGCAGGCCATCTAGCCCAGCATCCTTTTCTCACCGTGGACAACCAGATCCCTTCCAATGCTATGATGCCATTGTAATGGACCAAACAAACAAAATGGGCCTGGTTGGGTTAATATGTCTGCATGTGCCCAAGTGCCCACGTTCAGGTCAGCTGAAATAAAAGCCCCTCCAGATATCCTTTTTCATTGTTCCTTCATGAGGATTTGTGGTCAGGATGGCATCGGGGCAGCTTTAGGCAATCTCACTTTCAGTCCTGTTTGAGCATGCAAATGTTTCAAGGCAGAGATACTGCTTCATTTCCAATTGCTAGATGTCCGGTTAGCTTCGTCCTGAAATCCTGTAACTTTTTATACCCCAAATGTTCCAGGGTGGTGGTGGTATTATCCTCCTTTTGTTGCACTATGGTCCTCCTCCAAATGGCAACAATGGATGGACGCCAGAGAAGCAATCCAGAACAATGAATAGAGTGGAATGACACCCAGTATAAATCCACCACTGGTGCCTTATTATTGCATCAAAGACATGTTGCAGAAGACACCCACAAAAAATGCCCCACCTGTCTGGAGGGCCTCAAAGTCTCTCTCCCACCAATCATGATGGTGGTTTTGAACTAGTCATGGCCTCTAAACCTTCCCCCAATTGTTCTGAACAGCCCTCAGAGCCACCCCAAACCACTCTTGGCCCTACTCTTTTCTCCTTTCCCCTTGAGAGAATTCCTAGTTCTGCTACCTGATGTTCTGTCAGCTTCAGCAATTCAAGCACAATAGTATTGTTGACCTCCCTCATAGAGTTCTAAGTAAGGACAACCGAGATAATGACTGTACCAGGTGAATTTGAACAGTTCTGAAGTGCACTATATATATGCTATTGGACTGGTCCAGTCAAGTGCTCTGTGGGTGGGTGGTCTACATACCTAGATCTCCTGAATGTATTGCTGTTCATGCATTGGAAGAGAGCTGGTGGGAAAGGGTAAAGTACCAGGTAATAAATCGCCTGTGCAGACCAACATAGATACAGAAGGGAGAAGGCAGAAATGGACAGAGAGCTGTATTGTCCCTCAGGTTTTCTTATCCTTAATGCTCTATGGAGATATTTACCCCATCGTCCAAAATTGATCATGATATCTGCTTCACCATCATGAATTCGGGAAAACTCCAGTGGTGTGACATCACTCCAGACTTTAAAGGCTCGGGCAAAAGCATCATCCACAGTCTCTGAGTCCAGATCTGGGGTGTAGCCTAAAATCCTTCACAATAAAAGTAGGGTGGGGTGGGGTGAGAAAACAGAGAAGGGTATGGATCAGTTGGATAAAATCCCCCAAGGGATAGCAGCCACATTAAGTCTCTTGCAGCAAAAGTAATACAAAGAGCCCTATAGCTAACTAATCAGTCTTTTAACATAAGACTCATCATTTGGGGGGGGTATGTGTGTGAAGGATTAATGTCTGTTCTAATTCCTTGTTGCACAGTGTTCTTGTAATGCTGCTGCTGGTGGTGATGGTGGTGGCTATATTACTAGAGCTGTGAACCAGCTACTGTATAGCCAAATCCCAAAGCAAATTGGGCAGATTGGGGTTAACCTGGGATTTGGCCTGAACAGGTTGTGCCAGATTGGGTCCACCTGGAGAGATCCAGGACTAGTTTATATGTGCAAATTAAGATAGCGGGGTACCTTGGATCTCACTGGCATGGCAATTTGCACCATAAGTAGCAACCCCTTTAAACAATTTCTTTTAAAGTGTTTAAAGGAAGAGAAACTCAGGGGATCTGTGGCTTAATAGGAAAGACCCAAAGCTTGGATCATGTCCCTAAAATGCTCCTGAAAGAAAGCATAAAGCAGCCTTTCAAGCCAGGGATAGAGAACCTGGTGGCGGCTATTCATATGTCAAATGACTCCAACTCCCAAGAAGCCCAAATTCAGAGATGACAGGAGCTGTAGCCCAACAACATCTAGAGGACCACAGATGTTCCCCATCCTTGCTTTAAGCCAAAGTTCCTACGAAATGTAAGCCTGATCCTTTGGGGGTTTTTTTAAGCGAGTTCCACAGTGTTCAATGGGGCTTATTCCCAAATAAGTGTGAAGAGAATTGCAGCCCCCCCCCTCACACACAACCTTGCTTGTGTGCCATTATTAATTTCTGGCCAGCAACACTGTCTGCACGAGGCACTGGAAAAAGATGCACACACTAAAAAGCTGAGCCACGGGACTTAAATAGATATGGAAATCATTAAAAGAGCCCTGCTGTACTTCCTCCGCCTAAGACTTATCCCTCCAGACTTTAATGGACGATGAAGTGCTTGTTAAACTATTTGCTGTCCAGATCGCAGGGTAATTTTAGTTCGGCTTTCTTTCTGCAGGCATAACATGGATGTGGGGTTAATCTCTCCAGCTCAAAGTGCCAGATTAAAAAAAACTACATTTATTTTATTTTATTTTTTAAGAAGCAGAAGGAGAGAGAGGCAGACAAAGTGGAGCCTGTGGTGTTTTGTTCTGTGGAGTTGTATGGAACAACAGCATTTGAAAGAAAGGGATAGCCATTATTCTCCCAGAAGAACTCATGGTGTTCTGGAATAATGGCCAAAGATGCTCCCCCTCTTTTTAATGATGAATATTGAGGGTTAGGATTGCTCCAGCTGTGTAAAGAGTAGGACATCTCTTAGTGTTGAGATTTCAATTCTGGGAAAGCCACATTGCACCCCAGGCTTGCTTTATCCTGTACAACACTGGCATCTCAGAGGTAACCCATTCATGCTTTGCTTTTCCTCCTATACATTTGAAGCAAAGAGGAGAAGATGTTTTGAAACTACTCTTACAAATCTACTTCCATTTTTTTATCTCTCTCTGTCTCTCATCATCATCATCATCATCATCAAAATTTGTATACTGCCCTTCATCTGAAGATCACAGGGCAGTTCACAACATAAAAATACAAAATGAGAACAGAAAATACATAATAAGAACAAGAACAAATCAATATAATATTATTATTACAAGCATACTGGCTGCTGGTTTGCTAACCAAGCTAGCTTTAAGACATTCATGTGGACTTGTAAGGCTTTAAACAGCTTGGGACCAGTGAATCTGATAGATAGATCTCCTTCCCCCCCTCCAAAGTTAGCTGGTAAGAAGGCCTTGCTAAACTGCTAGAAGATATAAAATGGCTTCCTTCTTGGGAAAACCAAGGTATGATGCCTGTCTACTCAATGGGACTTGCTCCCAGATAAGTGAGGTTAAGATTGCACCCTAACATGGAATGTTTTGCCTGATTGTATGTATGCATACCTGTATGTGACGAGATTTTTCTCCCATTTTGGTTTTCTCGGGAAGAAATTATAATTGGCCACATCCGGATTGCCACAACGGGGTTTCTTCATTGTATCTATGGTGTTTTGGTCCAGTTCTCCAGTTTCAGGAAGCCCAAAGAATTTCTGCATTTTCTTCAAGGTATCTTTCAGCACCATGAGGTTGCAGTTGTCTTTCGGGCACCCATAATACTTGTTGAGGTATTGCTTCAACCAAAAAGAAAAGAGAACAGCACAATCAGTCACAACAGGCTTTCGATGAAGTTTGGATGACTCACCAGTGGTGAGAAGGAATTATTTCAAGGTGACCAGAGAGGGCAGCTTTTGTAGATGGGAATTGTTAAGCTGTTACACACATACACACACACATAATGAAAATGTGTGAATAGGTGAGCTGGTAAATATTTCTAAAGGAACAATGAATTGTGGACATGTTTGCAAGGGTTTTGGACACAATGGACTATACACTTTCAGTTGTACTTGTCACTAGCAAAGCATATAAATGAATGTAATTAACATTCAAGGTCCAAGTACAGGTGATGGTAGGTGAAAAGTGTGGTGGGGAGGGGAGTAGTTAACAGGGCCTGGGAGTCTAAACAGGGCTGGGCCTAGTCTGCATTCCCATTAGCATGAGGGGGAAATAGGGGTCAGAATTATTGCTCATGCTTGATGATGCTCATGCAGATTTCAAAAACCGACAGCAGATGTAGCTAAGCTGGTGCCCTCCAGAAGTTGTTAGGCTCAGTTTGCCTCAATTCTATATCAGTGTGTGTGTGTGCGTGTGTCCCAATTATATATGTTTATTTAACCACATTTTCGTGCACATCCCTGCTAATATGCACTTTAATATGCATTTCCCCCATCTCTTACCTTTTTGCAGGCAATTTCTCCCTAATACAACGCATTTGGTACATTATTTTCATGAACCCATGCATATTTGTACAGCTCTCCACCTGTGCTTCCTCGTGCATGGTTTTCAGCCCGAGAACCGCATCACATAATTTCAAAATATAACTGCATTTTGTGCACTGGTTTGTATTTCACATTAGGTAGGTTTGCATTAAAATGTGAAACTGAGTGGATTTCTCTCTCCACCAACCCACCCACCCCAGCCTAAACTTGAAAGTTCCAAATACTTTACACACTTATGTGAGAGTAAGTCCACTCAGTACAGCTGAAGATAGGAACAAAGAATGCTGCCTTATACTGAGGTAGAATCTAGACACATACAGTGGTACCTCGGGTTAAGTTCTTAATTCGTTCCGGAGGTCCGTTCTTAACCTGGAGCTGTACTTAACCTGAAGCACCACTTTAGCTAATGGGGACTCCTGCTGCTGCCGCTGCGCCACTGCTGCACGATTTCTGTTCTCATCCTGAAGCAAAGTTCTTAACCCGAGGTACTATTTCTGGGTTAGCGGAGTCTCTAACCTGAAGCATATGTAACCTGAAGCGTATGTAACCCGAGGTACCACCGTATTAAAAATGCTGTGAAAATGCTTTAAAAAAACTCTTTGAAAAATATATTGAATTTGTCATAGCTCAGCATCGCCATCCAGTGTCACATTTGTATAAAGCACTTTAAAACACACCTAAAACATTTTATTTGCAGCTGTATAGCTGAGTCCTGAGTCAGACCATTGGTCAGTCTAGCTCAGTATTGTCTACATGGAGTGGCATCAGCTCCCCAGAGTTCCAGGCAGGCAGTCTCTCCCATCCCTGCCTGGAGATGCCAGAGACTGAACTGGAGACTTTCTGCATGCAGAGCAGATGCTCTGCCACTGAGCTACAGCTCTTCTCCATGCTCAGACGTCCTTCTGAGTAGACCTGCATAGGATTGTGCTGTTAGCCTCTCCAAGTACAGAAGGTCTCCCATCCCTCTGCACATTTTCTCTGTCCTTTTCTGCACCTTATTCGAGTCACTGATAATATCAGGGCAACAGCCCGCTAATCACAGTGTGGGTGGGATTAGAGTTGCCATGCCAATTCACCAGGGGAAGGAGGGGGGAAGCTTGCCTGGCTGGATTCTTCTGTTTTTCAAACAGTTGCCAGAATAACAGTGTTACTCCCTGCCCACCTCCCAGTAATGTTTTTCTTGGCTTTATAACTTAAGCCAGAAGCAATCGATGTGGTCCCCTCCAGATGCTCCCTTCCTTAAACAAATAGACAGCTACTTGCTATGGGATTCACATTCCAGACTTGTCCAAAAAAAAACTCTGTTGTGTTGCACTACCAAAGCCACCTCCCAAACACTAAGCTCTGGTTTTGTGCTTTCCACCAGACTTCTCCACCTGGATGCCTTGCAAATTGCCTCACAAATGTTTTCAACTGCAACTCCCAGCAACTCCAGCCAACGTTGAGTTATGTAGGGTTCATCCAGATACACTTTGGTCATCACCATGATGATTGGTGCTTATGGGGTAATTATACATGGTCCTGCTCTCAATATCATTTGTGTCTGCAAAAGTTTTGGCATGGACATGCTGCTTCACTTATGATCACTGCATATCCTATATTATTATTATTATTATTATTATTATTATTATTATTATTATTTAAATTTGTATACCGCCCTTTATCAGTGAATCTCAGGGGGATTCACAACATAAAAATACAAGAAAACCCCCCAGAAGATATATAATACAAATAAGAACAAGTAGAAAACAAACCAATAAACCCCCTCTCCCCCCGACCCTATAACTTCCTACTGAAATCCTGTTACTAGGGTTGTTGTGGTTCCATCCCAATTTAGTTGCACTAGCATGCAAGTGTGTCCCACCAAATGGCAACAATGGGGAAGCATTGCAGAACAACAAATAAAGCAAAATGATATGTGTGGGCTACCAAGTATAAATCCCCCACTGATGCACTTTTATTGTGTCAATGACATATTGTAGAATACATCTGCGAAAAACAACCATCCCCAGTCTGGATGGGCCCATAGCTCAACACAACAGTACTTCCTTACCCAAAGAAAGCATTTCTTCACGCAGTGCATGATTAAACTATGGAACTCACTTTCACAGGAGACAGTGTTGGCTACCAACTCCAGGGCTCTCCTTAAGCTGTATCCTCTCCCAAAGCCAGTGGTAGCACCTCCCATTTCACATCCTGAGGAGAAATGGGAAGGTGCTGCCCTGTGCATGCACTTCTCACCCCTGCTTGCCACCCCTGCCAAAGCCTCACTTACCAGGGTTGTGAGGTTGCAGGTTCCAGGAAGATCACAAGAGAGCCACACAAGATCTCCCAGAGGCTTCCGCACAATTTTGTGGGGCCCTGGGAGTGGCAAGGGGTGGGTGCTTGCAGATCCTATGTCCTGGGGCGTCTTCCTCAAGGATGGGACAGCCATGCCCAAAGCCACACCCCTCAACAGCAGTGCTCTTTAGTCTCCTCCAGTGCTTTAGCCTGGCTTCAATTGCATGATCATGCCTGGATGGAGAGGTGATGTGGGTGGTGTAGCAAACACTGACTTTTGCATGGCTGGAATGTACCTAGCTGTGTGAAGGTAAGAGTCACATTGATTGCACTACTCACTTTTGCCCCTGATCTTCCTTGACCCTGGCATGTGGCTCCTGGAATGTGGTAGGGCTGTGCACCAGATTTAGCCAATGCCTGAATCCCAAACCAACTCAAGCCAATTTGTGTGGTGATGGTGTCTGGGCTTGGGCTCAGGCAGCCCAAATCGACCCAGCATTTTGAGGAGTTTGAAGGAGAGCCAGGAAATCGGACCCAAAGGATTAACAGAAACACACCAGGGTGAAGACAGCCTGTTGCTCGGACAAGGTTCCAGCCTGAACAGGAAGCTCTTATGCTGACCTTTCCTTAGCACAGCTCAGTTACCAGCCTGGCTGGGTGGGGCCAGTCTAGAACCTGAAAATATTTGACTCTTTAAAGTGGTAGGATAGTTATTTAAATGTATGGTACAGATGGGGCCCAATACCCATCAGCCTTAGCCAGCATGGTCAATAGTGAAAGATGAGGTGGGAGATCAGCAACATCTGGATGGTACCACATTGGCTATTCCTGCCCTAACTGCACAGACCTTTGCATGCTGTCTCAGGAGGAAGTCCCATTACGCTCAATGGGGCTTACACCCTTGTAAAGATGGGTTGATTGCATTTCTATTCCATCTTTTCTCCAAGGAGCTCCAGGTGTCATACATGGTTCTTTCTCCCACCAACAACCCTATGAGATAGGTTAGGCTGAGAGGCAGCAACTGCCCCAATGAGCTTCATGACCAAGTGTGGATTCGAACCCTGGTTTCCCAGATCCTATTTTGACATTCTAACCACTGCACCACTCTGACTTGCAGCCTAAGATATATTTAGTACTAGTGTGTAAGCCCCACTGAGATCAATGGGATTCCTTCCATGTAAACATCCATAGGGTTACCCTGTTAGGCTGTGATACTATATCTACTTGTGAGTAAGCCCCATGGAGCACAATTCAGTTAAGTGCATCAGATTGCATTGCACATGTCATGGTTCCCTTTTCCCTAAAATCTTCATTTCTGTAAGATCGCTTTTTATGACAGATCAAATAAACACAGACAAAATAAATCTGTAACTAACTATAATGTCTAAGAGCAGACATCCTCCCTAACTTTTTCAGTGCAGCTTCAGAAATGGTGATAGAACATAGTTTGAGAATAGCTTCAAGGGGCAGTTACTGCTTCAAGCAGAACTTGGTCGAGACTAGTCATTATATCTGCTAAAAAACAAAGCCACCTGTGTACAGTAATTGTCTTTCAGGCTTTACTTAAGCTATGCTTCATAAACAAAATTTTTTTAAAAACCCTCTATTTACTTTCTATACAATTCTGCCACCCCCCTTGCCCTGTTAAATCTTCAGCAATTTGATGAACTTTGTTTGCAGAGGCAGAGGGCAGCCATTCAAAAATACAGACTTCTGGCCTGACTTTAAAAGTTTTATGAGGGGAAACAGAGCTTGCTTCAACAGTTTGAAAGCTGATAATTTTGCCAGCTCCTATTCCCCACCCAGGAACCTCAGAGATGGAAACCAGCAGCTATTGGGTTACAGAGAATCAGAGAATTAGCAAGACAGACACTGAAAAATATTATTCAAAGGGAAATAAGTGGGGGAGGGGGGACAAACAAACAAACAAACACATACTTACCAATGCCAGTTCTTTGTCAGTTTTTGGAGAAATGTCCCCTGGAAACTTTATGATGGGTGATGGGATCAGTTCTCTGCCTGGTACATCTTCTGAAAGCCTCAAAGTTGTTGGTGGTGGGGCTGAGGCTGGGTGAAAAATGGAGATGTGGATCAACAGGATTTTAAGCATGCAACCAGCAAAGCTGAAGGAGATGTGCATCTTCATTTTGCTTCGATTTGTATTATTTCCCTGAAGCCCTGTCTTCGTAAAGAGCTTGGCACTGTCAGTGTCTTGAGTTGCAAGGTCCCATCAGCTGCTTATCAACACATCTTAACTTTCCTCAGGGCTCTCTCTGCTTTTGCTTGCTCCAGCAATTCCTTTGTATGTTTAAGAAATCCAGATGCGCAGTCTCCAAATCACCGCAAGAGGAAGTCTGAAAAACCAGTGGAAACATGAAGGGGGGGGGGAGAAGAGAAGGGGCAGTTACCAGATGTGTGTTTTGCTAAGATTTTAAGGTAGCAACAGACAGATCTCTCTTTGAACAGTGAAAAGAAAAAGAGACAAGAGTTGACAGACCAGTTTACTACATACTACAACTTGGGTAAAGTTTCAGCTGAGATGCATTGCTGAAGGAATCATATGCTTGTTTGGGAGATGAATACAGAGGGGGGCTTAAGCAGCATTTCTGAGACTGGATAACGAGGCCGGCTGGGCCCAGCCACACTGGTAAAATGTCCCTTGAGTTGTGGCTTCCAATTGAAGGAGAGTCATTCCAAGGATATGGACGTTGCTCCCTTCCTTGAGTCGGAGCTGGACGAAGGATACCAACGATCCACAGGGAGTAGGATAAGTGTGTTCAGGATGTCCTTAAATTTCTGAATGCCTTAGAGCAGAACTTAAGACCAGGGACGGGTGGCTTACTGGATAATTTGTCATGATTGGGGTTCTGAAATTCACGGAGGTCAAGACTTGCAATGGCTGCTTGTCATGATGGCTATATATTACTTCCAGTACTGGAGACAACATGTCTCTGAATGCCAGATGCAGGGGATCATAAGTGGAAGATGCTGTTGTGCTCATAGCCTCCTTTTGGGCTTCTCACAGGCATCTGGTAATCACTGGGAGAAGAGAATTCTGGACTAGATGGAATCATTATGTTCTTATGCTGGTCCTAGATGCTAAGTGCCAGTTAAAGGATCTTGTGCAGCAGCTGTCTGGCACTGATCTATCCCTAAGACCTGTAGATCTAGTGGCAGCTGGGTTAGATTGACTGTTGGGTGACCAGGGATGCTATTCTCACAGGGCCAGCCAGATACCTATGGCCTAAAAACAGAACCTGAGCACCAGGGCCAGATTTAGATGAAGAGAGGCCTTAGGCTACTCCACTTGTGAGGCCCCTCCCCCTCCCCCACCCTCACAACTAAAAGAAAATGGAAGAATGTTATAAACAAAATTGAGTGAAGCCAAGGATGATGGGGATTTAAAATTCTGCAATTCACAATTTCTCTTCTAAAGGACATTTTGTGGAATAAGCATTATTTCTTAGGAAAATGAACTTGTAGTGTTATTCTTAAAATGAGTCCTGGGCCTTAACCTCTGAATAAGTGGAGGGATGCTTTAACTGCCTCGGCCACAAACCTAGCTCTAAGTCATGCACTCACCCATATAGGGAATCACTCCCATTGTTGCCTTCGCCGCAGGCCTCTTATATACCTGCTGGGATTGACAAGGCATCTGACCCTCACCTGACCCTCACCTGAATCTCATAGCTCTCCTAACGAGTGCTTTGGTCTGCCCACCAGATACCAGGCACTCTACTATTCAAATTAGGCTCCAGTGTTTTTGTTACAATCTCCTTCTGAATTAAGTAATCAGTTTTAATCTAGAATTTAAATTCTCAAAACTTTATTATTTGTTAATTCAAGCAAGTAAACTACTGCTCTCACTTCATTACAAACAGTATTTCTACCTGCAACACACTTGAGGAAATTTGCTTCTCTTCCTTTCACTGATATTTTGTTGCCATTTGCAACTGCAGCTGCCTCTGATTAGTTATCATTTAACTCTTGGGGGAAATAATTAGCATCACACGTCATGCGCATGGAAGTTGCCGAACCAATTAACCAACTAGAAGGATCACTGTAAATCACACCAGTTTTCCTAGAACTTGATATTACTGGATAGTTTTGATTAACTGCAAAAGCATTTTTAGAGCTTTCTCCATTATCTGCACAGCAGGGGGTGCTCAGTAAACAGTGCAAAGGCTGAGCTGAAGCGTTTCCTGTTGGTTACCTGCTTCCAGCAATAGGGGTCACTGTTTGGTAGTACCCGATTGGTTAGCTGTCAGATTCTAGAGCTCCCTGTTGGTGGCTCTTAGGTAATTCCAAAAATGCAGAGTCCGTTAATAAAACAGTGTTCATTCATAATGCAGTAACATAAATCTCCATTGCTACGTATTGGGTGTGTATTTCAGTGGTTGAATATACAGGTTTATGGCCATGCTGTAGTGTAGTGCTTATGCGACTGTGAATAAAAGGTGGCTGGGTTCATCGTACCGGGGTTTGGGGGGGAGAGGTGACAGAAATGATTTCCAATAAGTGCCCCCCTTTATTTCCACAACAGGTCCTTGAGTCTGTACTCTGAATAGTGACACCAGGGATGTAAAAGGTGCAGGGCTTGTCCTTAATGCAATTGGAGCAATTTGGCCAAATTAGGCCCCGCGTGCCGCTCCTAAGGGGCCCCCCGCACCAGAGCAATCTAGATGGATTTTATTTATATCTCTAAGATTTTGCAGACCTTGGCTGTGAACTGGGGCCCTACAAAAAAACACAAAAAAACACTAAAGTTGGGCCCCACTTCTTCCAATTGGGCCCCACTGTATAGCCTAAGTTGCCCTGCCCTTGCATGAAGTCTTGGGTTTGCAATTTTGGGAGAGGGGAGGTTGCCTGCTGGGAAGCGGGCAGGCTGGCAAAGCCCCCTAGATTTAGAGGCGCTAGGCTTCAGCCTACTTAGCCTAAATATAAATCCGGCACTGCTGAGCACTCTCCCCACTTGCAACTCCCAGCAATGAAACTCCAGATGTGGTCTTATTTGACTTTCCTGCTTCCACAGATTCATTTTGCAAAGGTGCATATGGATTATGGAAGTGGGGAGGGAATTTGATTCAGGTCACAATTAACGGAGGACCTACCTAATTCATCTGAATACTTGCCCAATAGCTGAAGGATTGTCTCACCCCAATACATCCTGTTTGTATATTTAAGCTGTTCTCATTTTTATCTGTAAGCTGCTTTGTGTCCCTGTCAGAGGAAAAGGTAGAGTATAAATAAATATATGATGATGATCCATCTCTGTGCTCTGCCGCTGAGGGCCCCTTGCATCTTATCAGGAGGTCTGTTCCACACAGTGTAGGAATTAGGTCTGTAGCACTGTGGCACCTTTGGAATGCCTTCTATTGAATATTAGACAGGCACCATCACTGTTGTCTGTTTAGTACCTACTGAAGACAAGCCTTTTAAGTCAATATCTTTCCCAATTAAAAATTATTTTTAAAAAAGATGTTTTAATTATTTGTTGTTTGCTGCCTTGGGCTCCTTTGATAGGAAGAGTGGGTAACAACAACAGCAACAATTTGCAGCTACCGAATCAATATTAGAATGGAAAACACATCACTTCTCGGCCTTTTGGCTAAGATCAAGTGTAGTATCTGTTCTTGTCAGTTTAATAGGATGGAAAACACAAAATTCGTGCTTCTCTGAATTTTGCAACATAGTTTTCCAGCCGCCGCCCTCCCAAGAAAGTATATATTAGGGTGAAATGCATATGTTGATGAATACAACTTATTAAAATGTATTTTTTTTAGGGGAAATTGTTTTGTAAAAAAAAGCTATACATAGGGAGAAATCCCCAATAAAATGCTGGTGAATTTTCATGAGGACTTAAAAAAATTGCAAATTGATATGGAAATATGGAGAACTGAAGACTGGTGGAAAAATGAAAAACTGAGGGAAACCCCAATAGTCAGGTGAGCCCATCCCTGTCATGGATTGACCCATTTCCAAAGAGGTGCTCCATACAGGCAGATGCCATTCCCAGACTGAACAAATCCCCCTTGCAGGTCTGCCCATATTCACAGGAGATGTGCCTCCTCTCCCAATCAGAAAGCCCAATGCCAAGCATGTCAGAATAATAGTTCTGCTTGGGTAGTTCTAGCTGCCATCTCCCCCACTGCATGTTGATAGACTGTGTGCTTTTCCCCACCCCACTTGTCATTATAATGTTAGCACAAAGACACCAAGGGGGCTGTAATTAATGGCTTTGAAGATCTGCTCTTTTATAATTCATGGCAGTGCTTTAATTAAAATCAAATGGATAGCAGTGGAAATGGCAAAGGATTTAAGAGTGTTCTGCCTTAGATGGGAAACCAATTCCCTCTGACCAGTGGTGTTACAGACAGCATGCAAATTACTCTTCATCAGAGCCGGTGAGGAGGAATGAATCTGCTTTTCATCTGGCAAACAGTTCCCCTATTGTCTTGGAGTCACAAGGTGCAAATATGACCAAAAGGACCTCTGTCATCTCCCGTTCTACCCTTATCTTTCAGGAGTCCTCCAGTAGTTGAAGAATCTAACTAGGAACACCAAGATCAATACATGGTCCATGTCTATTCAATACACTGGAATGGGCAATGTTGTTCTCTCACTACCAGCTCCCCATGGTTCACTCCGGGACCATCTGTTAAGATGGAGAGTAGAAACAGACCTAACTGATGTAACCAATTCTAAAGTATTGGCAAACTTACTTAATGTTTGATTGCATTAGTTGCCTTGTACATGCATAGAACATATCTGGGTGTGGTTGTATGTGGGGATGTTATAGGTATTTTTTGAAACTAAAGAATAAAATTAAGAAGTAAAATGAATTATTATTTTGCAACTGTTTTGCAGGGAAATGGGAGAATTGACATTCAGTGGTACCTAGGGTTAAGTACTTAATTCGTTCTGGAGGTCTGTTCTTAACCTGAAACTGTTCTTAACCTGAGGTACCACTTTAGCTAATGGGGCCTCCCGCTGCTGCCACGCCGCCACTGCACGATTTCTGTTCTCATCCTGAAGCAAAGTTCTTAATCCGAGGTGCTATTTCTTGGTTAGCGGAGTCTGTAACCTGAAGCATCTGTAACCTGAAGCGTCTGTAAGCTGAGGTACCACTGTATCTATAATAAATAATTTCCTTGTTTTGGCTGTGGGGAGAGGGAGAATCTAATCAAAGAGAAATTGGCACACAGTGGTTTAGCACTGGAATATTGAGAGTCAGTGGACATTCACACAATCATATATATTACTTATTAGTAATACATTTGGGTATATTCCTTATATACCCAATCAATCACTGCACTGTAATAAGATACTACCTTATCAGGATGCCCAATCAGTACAGTGGTACCT